TGCAGCCTCAAAGACCATTAGCTGGCAAAGGCAGGGTGAGGTATCAGCGGGATCAAGCTGGAGAGCCGAAACGGGACAGACCGCCTAAGGATCTACCGCCAACCAGGAGACCCGACATTAAGAACATGTCATATACTCAAGGTTTCATCTACCAGTTTCTCTTATGCTGAATACAACTTGCCATTCTCTTCCCAAATGTCCTTTCTTAGGGAGCTATACATGGAAGAGCAGAGGTGACATTTTTATTCTAAGACCTTTCTCTTGCCTTTCCTTAGGTTCGAACAGAAACAGCCAGTCCCCACCTGACTGGCCAGCGCCCCCGGGAAAGGAAGGACTGCGGCACTGGGTGAGGGCTGAGCCAGGACGGACTCTCCAGGAGGCGCCGCAGTGGTCCCGCGGCTGACCCCACCATTCACTCCACACCCAGGGCTGGTCCACGCCAGCCCCCACATTCCGGTTCTCTTGCCAGGGCTTAGGTTAGGCCCACCCAACCCAGACCAGGAGGGCGCCTACATGCGGGGCCCACGCTCAGAGCTTCTGATACAGCAGGCAGGAGGTGGAGCCTGGAACCTGCATTTCTAACACGTGCCCGAGGGCTGCTGGTCCAGGGGCCACATTGGGTGAGCACCAGTTCGGACGTGGACAAGCGGTTCAGTGAGAGGAGACTGTGCTGAGGGAGTTCTGGGGAAGGCTTCTCTGCTCATAACGAGACAACCCTCTTGTCCTCTGAGAGGACAGTTCATGCGACAGAGATATTCTTTTACCTGCTCTATCCAGTACGGTAGCCACTAGCCACAGGTGGTCATCAGCACCTGAAATGTGGTTAGTGTGACTGCTGAAACTTGAAATTTTATTTCATTTTAATTATTTTGAATTTAAAAGCCACCTATGGCCTGTGGCTCCCATATGGACATCAGGGTCCGTGACACTGTCCCCATCAGCCTGAGGCGGGGGGAGCGGAGGACACTACACCATGGATGCTCACTTCTTACTGTTCAAGGTCATGCATGTCTTTATTGTTTAAGGCGGTGTGAGTCGGTAATCCCTGTTGCTGCAGCCATGAGGACATGGAGCTAGCACCCCAAGGGCGCGTCACCTGCATGCAGAAGAGCGAGAGAAGCAAACCCTGTTCTGGTGAACTGAAGAGGGCTGGACCTGAGGGATGCAACCCGGTCTTGCGGCATTCAAGATCTGGACACAGCACGCTCCCTGTCGGCCTGCTAACAAGATCCGGGGACACTGCTGACCCCTCCTCCCAAGGACCACCAGTGTGTGCAGAGCTAAATGGTGGGCTACTGACAAGGCTCCTTCCAGGCATGCGGAGGTCTGGAAAAACACCTCCTGCTCTAGCTCGCTGTGGTTTAAGCAAGACCTCTCTCTCTGGAGCCCCCTTTTAACATGCAAATGCTCCCAGAAAGGGTGCTGGGTTCAGCCTTGAAGTGTGGATGTGAAGTTAGATCACTGTACCTCGTTCCCAAGGAACAGGAAGCTGGAAAAGGGTGAAGCATGAGAGAGGCGAGGGGTACACACTCAGAACTCAACCAGTTCACAGCTTTACAAAAGCCGCACCTCACTGCTCTCCTCATCCCGACTGCACACCCCATGTGCTTCCTGAAAGGCAGCCCCCAGTTCGAAATTCCGACAATCCCATCATGCAACCAACGTGTCGCCTGGACCCAAAGCAGGAAGGACAAAGTGATAGAGACTCAGCAGCTCTGAATTATGGTCCCAGAAGAGTCTTCCCTGAACCCTACACAGGATAAGGGAACCTGTGAGGGGCTGAATTTTGTCTTCCAAAAAGATGCTCAAGTCCTAATCCCTTGTAAATGAGAATGTGACCTCATTTGGAAATACGGTTTTTACACATGATCAAGTTACAATGAGGTCACACTGGGGGGGGGGGGGAGACCCCTAAACCAATATGGACTGGTGTCCTTTTAAGAGGAGAAATTTGGAGACA